GTGTGTGTGTGTGTGTGTGTGTGTGTGTGTGTGTGTGTGTGTGTGTGTGTGTGTGTGTGTGTGTGTGTGTGTGTGGTTTGAACTTACGAGGACCTAGCAGGTATCCAGCGCTGTTCAGAGTCCAGCCGCGCTTCTCCTTCGCCTGGAAGATCAAACCGTTGACAATGAGAAGAAGAAGAAATCAAACCGTTGACAATGAGAAGAAGAAGAAACATCTCTCCACTCCTGGACTACACTTTGGATTTTTGGACCCTCTGGGCTGAATATTCTGCTAACCAATGCAGACATGTTCTTGTTTTGAGCTTTTGAATCACCTTACAACCTAGCTGTTTTTTTGTTACATTTTTTAATATCATTTTATTTTCACTTGTTCTTCTCAATTTGTACACATCTTTCATGATTGTCCACTGTTGTGTTCACTCTTTGTTAAATCAGGTCTCTGGTAAATGAGTCCCTGAGGCTCAATGAGACTCACCTGTAGAAATGAAGGTTGAATGAAAAATATTCAAACTCAAAATATGTATTTTGAGAACCTTAAAGGTGTATTCATGTTCAGTAGTTTGAAAAGGTCTAAAGATATTCTGGTTCCATGAAGTCCATGTAGCTTTGCGCGCCCCTCCAGGTGGCACTTTAATGCTTGGACACTGCTAACATGATGGACAGCTTTTTGACAGCTCCCACATAAACACAAAGCACAAGATGAAGCATCGACAAATGTGCTTCCAAACCAACTTCCCTCCAAGACAAAGAGTAGAAAATATGACCACTCGCTGTTTGTTCCGCCATCCCACCCCCCCCCCCATGTCTTTCTGGCTCCTACACACCTGTCCTCCACCCTCACCACCCCAGGTGTCCCTCATCAGGTGTCACGCTCACATCAGTAAACGTGACTGTTGATCAAAAACTGAGCAAAACTGGAGGTTAGGGTGTGTGTTTGGTGTGTGTGTGTGTTTGTTTGGTGTGTGTTTGGTGTGTGTGTGTGGGGGGGGGGGGGGGGATTTTCTTATAAACCAAAGGGGTCCCAGCAGAAAAAGTTTGTGAACCACTGTTCCCAGAGCAGACGCCCTCAGGTAAATATGATTTAACTGGTTGAAGTGTCTCCGTGGAGGAGCAGAGAAGGACAAACTGTTCTGACATGAACACTTTTCATTTAACAATCTATGGAACAGAAACATAAATTCATGTTATCGATAAAGTATTCATCAAAAACTCCTGACGTCATCAGACCTTTTATTTGTTCGTCTGTTGGAGATTTTATTTTTAGTACAAGTGTTGTTTTATATTAAAATCGTATAAAAACATTAATGTTGGTTGTAACTGCTGTAAATGTTCAGTTTGGTGGTTTCTCAGTTTCTTGATTTATTTCTGTGATTCTCTTCCGTTGTGCTGACCCTCACGTTGACCTGTTTTTAATCAGTTTAATCAAATCTTTACAGATGTTTGACGACCTGTTGGCGTCTCTTTTATTACAAATTTTCTGGGGGAGGACACACGGACCCCCCCCCCCCGCCCCCCGACCACCTGAGCTCAGTTTTTATTGGAAACTTCACAAATGTTATAGAAAAAGTTTGCGAAAGTTTAATTTAAATAGGAAGGATCAACAAGTTTTCACTTCTTGTTCCTGATCAGAGCTAAACATTTAGAGAAACATTAATTTGACTCATTTCAAACTTTTGTTACAGAATTTTTTTTAAATTTTACATAAAGTAAAAGTCTGAGATCAAACAAACATTTTTACAAAGAGAAAATGTAAAGATGTAAACTCCACAAGTTCCCAAACATTTCGTTTTTAAGTCCAACAATACAAATTACAATCTGATATTTAAGATCAGTTTGACTACTTTACTTACTTATTTATTTATTTGTTCATTTTATTTATTTTTTATTAGTTTTGTTTGTTTATTCAGTTTTTTCTTTGTTTGTTTATTTGTGGTGATTTATTTATGAAGACTTAATCTAACTATTGATATTAAAACTAATGTGTTATTTATTTCAGATAAAACTACAGCAGTGTATTTTGTTTGTTTGTTTGTTTGTTGTTTGTTTGTTTGTTTCACTTTGAAAAGCACAGAAACATCGTAAACGAAATAAAATTTGTTTAGTTAATAAAATGTTGTTTTCAAACAAACTTAAAAGATCAACAGAGTAAGTTTGAGACCATTTATTTTTATTAATACTTTGTTTTAATATAAAAACTACAACAATAGGGAAAATATGTTTTCCTTTAAGTTGGTTTAAAAAAGAAAAATATTAATTAAATTCTGAAAATATCATTAATATAGCTGCACTTTGAATAAATGAATATATATTTGTCTTGTATGACTCTCTTCTTTAGTTTTGTTGAGTTTTCTTTTTTTGTCTGCTGCTGTGACAATTTTTTTTGGGGGGGATAAATAAAAAACAATAACAATAAATCATTCATTCATTCATTCGTTCGTTCGTTCGTTCATTCATTCATTCGTTCGTTCATTCATTCGTTCGTTCATTCGTTCATTCATTCATTCATTCGTTCATTCGTTCGTTCATTCGTTCGTTCGTTCATTCATTCATATATTTGCCAGAAACTTCAGCTCCTTCATAGTCATGAAGCTGTATTCAGATTTCTAATATTGATAAAATGACCCGCTGCTCTCCCCCACATAAAAACATCATTAATATCTAATAATTCTACAATAGATATATCAATATGATCAGAAGATAACAGGACTGATCGAAGGCGGTGATCATTTTCTGTCTCCTCCATGAGAAGAGAGCTTCTGATAACAGAATAATGTTTAAATCTTCCTGTTTCACCTCATGAAGTTTGACTGAGCTCTTCAGCGTCTGACGGATCAACTTCACGTTTCAAAGACTAAAATGTGAAAGTTGCACGGAACGTGCAGAAACTCACCGCGAGGACCAGCCCAACGCTCTCAGAGAGAGTTGCACAGAAGATGAGCGACACACACAAAACCCCGAAGCACCTCTGCATCTGAAAGAGACAGAACATGTGAAGAGAACCAGAAGCTGTGAGAACCGGACCACCTGCTCGGGTCAGCTCTGCAGCCCACCTTGGATCAGACGGTCCTGCTGCTTGGAGCGCTCTCAGGAGATCTGCAGAACCTGACCGGAGAGAGTTCTGGCTCAGATGAGACTCCGTCCAGCTTTTATCACGGCTTCAGCTCACGTCAGCAGCCACACACACACACACACACACACACACACACACACACACACACACACACGCTGACAGGATGGGCAGGTCATGAACAAAACATAAAACCATCATCAGATTTTTCCTTGTCGCCCTGAGAGAGCTGAGATTAAATTTTGGCAGCGAGAAACGGTGAGTGTGTTTCAGAGGATCAATAAGACGTGTGTCACTAATCACAGCTGGTTGCTCTGATTTATGAACAATTACAGATGTTTAGATCTGACAAGAAGCAGAGCGTCTGTCTGGATCTGTGGTTTGTGTTGCTCTGCTTCAGGTTTATTCTTTTATTAAGGGGCCCTTGGAAAAACGTTCCGTCCGTGCAAGTTGTGAACATGTCTTGTCATGTGAACATCATGTGAACATCATGTGAACATGTCTTGTCATGTGAGCATGTCTTGTCATGTGAACATCATGTGAACATCATGTGAACATGTCTTGTCATGTGAGCATGTCTTGTCATGTGAACGTGTCTTGTCATGTGAACGTGTCTTGTCATGTGAGCATTTCTTGTCATGTGAACGTGTCTTGTCATGTGAGCATGTCTTGTCATGTGAACATGTCTTGTCATGTGAACGTGTCTTATCATGTGAACATGTCTTGTCATGTGAACGTGTCTTGTCATGTGAACGTGTCTTGTCATGTGAACGTGTCTTGTCATGTGAACATGTCTTGTCAT